TAAATAACTGTTCGAACTTGTTTGGAAATATTTGTATTCTATTTGATTTTAAGGCAACACTAATTTGAACTTTAAAAAAAGGTCCATTTTAGAATTTCTTGATTTTTTTTTAAAAGCTCTTGCTTCTTTTTAAAGCGTGCGATTTTTACTTAAATATTTTTTTAAATGTCGTTTTAAAACTACTCGTAGAAATATAAAAATATTTATGACCTATACGTTATGACCTATATCAAAATATTTACGTTTAACAAGGCAACATTAATTTGAATGTAAAAAAAAGCACATTTTAGGAATTTTTGAGTCATTTAAAAACAACGTAAATTTTGATTATTTTTTTATCTATATATTTTACTTAAATATTTTTAAATAACTAGTTCCAACCTGTTAACATTAATATTAAAATATTTCTACACTATTTGGTTTTAAGAGAACATTTAAAAAACAAAAATGCTCCTTTTAGTAATTTTGATTCCTATAAAACAATACAAATATGTTCTTTTTCAACATCAAGATATTTCTACACTATTTGATTTGATGGTCAACATTCTAATTTAAATGTTAAAAAAAAATTTTTTTTTGAAATTGTTGATTTGTTTGAAAATAATATGAAGATAGCACTTTTCTTTTAGATTTTACATTAATATTTTTTTAAACTGACACTTTAAAACTGTTTGAAAAATTATAGAAATTTTCTGTTTTTTTTTGTTTTTTTTTATTATAGAGGCTACACTGTAATTTATACGTCAAAAAAGATATGTTTTACGATTTATTGATTGGTTTAAAATCAAATCAGGTTGGAAAAAAATGTGCTTTGTAATTTAATTATTAAAGATTGACTGAGTTTGAAGCTCAGCTAAAAAATAAATAAATAAAAAAATAAACTTTCACTTTACTTAATACTTACATAAAATAAAATTAATTTTATAACTCTTTAAAAACGTCGTCTTTGGGAAATTGATGATAAAATCAATTTCACTTGTATTTCATACTGTCATCTAACATAGAGCATAAATTTATTATCATTAGGGTACAAATTTATGATTATTATTGTACAAATTTATTATAACAAGAATCTGATCTGTGATTGCTCATGAGCCAAAAACATTGCGTTGTCATTAAGAAAAACTAGGTTTCTATCCTCAATGAGAGCGTAAAGCTCATCCAGCTTCAGATCGATATGTATCTACTTATCTGGGAAGTAAAGGCTGCTTGTGCGCAATTCTGGCCGTATTGCCATAATCATTGCGTTGGTCGTGCCCTATCCCATAATGTGTTGTTGCGAGAATGTTTTACTTTTTTATAATGAGGATCTTAAACCTCAAATTAAAACAAACAAAAAAACTTTCGAATTTGATATTATTTACTTGAAATATATGTTATGATCTATATGGGTCAAATGCTATGGGTAATATGCTATTAAACTAGTCAAAACGACGTAGATTTCTTTTGATGATATAGATTGCATCATTGATTTTAAGCAATTATAATTCACAAAAACATTTTTAAAATAAATATGAAAAAAAATGTGGTAATCAGTTTCGTTGTAACTCAGTAAACTTCTCTCAATAATTTAGAAATTAGTCATTAATTCACTTATCATTATCATTCATTACGATTTCACTTATATATTTTAATTTCACGATATATTTTAAATAATATAAACAATAAAATTGTTGTTTATTAAAAACATTGCATTTTTGTTTAAATAGTTTAAAGGTTAGATTTTGTCACTGATTGTGTCTACTTATCATTCGCAACGATATGTTTAAAATAATATAACACTAAAAAGTTGGCCTGTAATAATATTGTATATTAAATAATTTAGAGATCAGATTAATTCACTGATTATGATTACTTATCATTCATTTTACGATGTATTTGAATTAATATAAGCAATAAAATTGTTGTTTATTAAAAAAATAGTAATATTGCTTAAATAATTTAGAGGATAGATTTTATCACTGATTGTGACTACTTATTATCTGTTACGATATATTTCAAGTAATACAAACAATAAAACGTTGGCTAGTAAAAACATTGTATATTTAATAATTTAGCAATAAAATTCTGTCACTGATTATGTCTATTTATACATAACGATTTGTTTTAAATAATATATACCATAAACATTGGTTTGTAAAAATATTGCACATTAATTCATTCAGAGATTAAATTTTATCACTGATTATGACTACTTATCATTCGTAACGATATGTTTAAAATAATATAAACGATAAAAAGTAAGTTATAAAAATGTTGTACATTAAATAATTTAGGGATAAGATTTTGTCATTAGTTTTATTCTCGAGGCAAAATATGTATTCAAATATTTTGAGTGAACAAATACAGTAGTCGTTTGGTTAATGTAAATTTCTCTCAATTGTTTGGAAGCTATACTTTTTCAGTGACTATTACCATCTACCATTTATTGCCTCGTCATTTAAAAAAAATATAACAAAAATGAAGTTGTATAGTCAAAATAAAGTTAATTGCTCTCGATGATTAAGAAATTGACTTTAAATTAAGAAATTAGTATCTTTACTACAGCATTATTAAATTAATAGAATTGGCTTTATTAAATGTTTTTTTCAAAAATATAATAAATAAGAATAAAAGATATCAGATAATATAAAATAAATAAGAAGTAGAGAATATCAATATGGAAAAAATAATGAAAAAAAGGAGATCTGAAAATATTAAAATACAAGAATTGAAGGATCTGAACATTTATATTAAAAATGTGTGAGCAGAAACAATGAACAAAATTAATAAATGTGTGAGTTTAAAAAGTGAGTTTTTTAAAAATATTAAATGAAAGACACCAAATAATAAACATTTAAAGTAATTAAAATTTGTGATATCGTTCAATGATTTATCGGTAGCAATTACCACATTAGTCTAGTGTTATAAATTAAAATTTCACAAATTAATCGTTCATATTTTTATTTCATTACATGAAATGTTAAGCAAACAATGATTAAAAACAACTGCAGTGCTTGTCATCATTTTTTCATGGAATTAACCTACATTCCTCAATGTATCCGATAGAGTTTGAAGAACTGGTTGCAATATTGGAGCGACATCTGACAAAGGAAGCTTTACAGCCAGTGACAGCAAACACAAATCAAGTTCCACGGTTTGACTAGAGGAACCACCTGTTGCTTGCCTTTCGACGCGAACTGGTGAAAAATCAGCTGCAGAATTCTGGATCAGAAGGGAGGCTATCATAGCTGTCGCAACTAGAACAATCAAGGAACGCATCTGAAAGAAATTAATTAATAATTATGATAGAGTTGATTTGGTTTCCTGTAGTCAGTGTTCAACGAAAGTTATTACTATGTTATTAATTGTTATTTACTATGAATCACAAGCTATCTAAATATCACCTTGATTCAATGTGCATAATTTTGTACGGGGATTCCCAAAGTAATGGAAAAAACAATCTCTGTATTCGACGACAATTCTCCATTCCGTTGGCAACACTATTTAGATTTTTAATCATTTATAGAATGAAGTAGGGCTGCCTACTTCATTCTACACCATTTAGATTCTTAATTATTTATAGAATGAAGTAAGGCTGCCTACTTCATTCTACACCATTTAGATTCTTCATCATTTATAGAATGAAGTAGGGCTGCCTACTTCATTCAACACTATTTAGATTCTTAATCATTTATAGAATGAAGTAGGCAGCCCTACTTCATTCTACACCATTTAGATTCTTAATCATTTATAGAATGAAGTAGGGCTGCCTTCTTCATTCTACACCATTTAGATTCTTAATCATTTATAGAGTGAAGTAGGGCTGCCTACTTCATTCTACACTATTTAGATTCTTAATCATTTATAGAATAAAGTAGGGCTGCCTACTTCATTCTACACTATTTAGATTCTTAATAATTTATAGAATGAAATAAGGCTGCCAGCAAAATATTTTATAGAGTGGTAGACAATTAAGCACTAAAGCTTTCTGTAATTTCTTTTTTGGTAATATTGTCGACGTTTTAAAAGCCTTACCACGTACGAGCTGGGACAAATTGATATTTTATAAAAAGTATTGAATCATTTAGAATCAGTGGTGCAGAAAATAACTTTAAATCTTATTAATAAAACAAAGAATAATAAGTTAAAACATAAAATTAGCTGCCCCTAGAAGAAAAATTTCCCAGAAAGGGTAGAAACTTGACAGCCCAGCTTGAAATGGGCATAAAAATTATTATTGGAAAAAGTACAATTTAATCTAACGCGCATCTGCATTTGACATTCTGTTCTAGAAACTGACAATGCGTCGTATTATCCCTGGACAAAATAGTACAGAAATTATCACTTCATTCAACAACCTGGGGAAAAAACGTTCTTCAATGCGGGAAGGCCAGTAATTTGCAGTAACTGTAAAATTTGTTAATTGTATTTTAAAAACAAAATTGTAATATTTATGTTTCTTACATGTTATTCTCTTATATTCTTTCTCTTTCATATTTGATGGTGGGTGTTCTCATTTATTAAAACAAATTGTATACTAGTATTGCAAACTTTGAAAAATAATTTAAACACGTTTCGCCTGGAAAAACTAAATGTTAAATTAGACATTAAATAATATACATTATTCGAATTTTTTCAATGCGTTTAACGATAGTATCGTCTAAGGTTGCTACTACCTTAATAAGTTTATGAACTGAGCCTTACTATCATATTTCTTAAACTTGATTACACAATACTTGCACTGTACTAAAGTTGTAATAAATTAAATTAAAATTAAATAAAGTTGTACCTTACTAAAGTTGTAATAAATTTTCACCATATTACTGTTCAAGATACCTATATTATGTGTCAGCACTGAACCGTTTTCTGTGATATTGCAGTCTTAAAATAGAGCAGTAATTGACTAATTTCATAAAGACGTTTGCCTCTTATTCGGTTCTTAATTTAAAATATATAACTGATCAGGAGAGAATAGTAAAACATGTTATTCTAAAACATAACCAAGAGTCCACAGCAAATTAATCCTTAACAATTTTATTTAAATGCATAAAACGCAATGATCAATAGCATAATGATTAGCAACAAATATTAAGTTCGCCATTGTTCATTGAAATTAGACCGTTCTTCTCACTGTCTGCAATAAAGTCTGGAGGACTGGTTGCAATATTGGAGCGAGGTCTGACAATGGAACCTTTAAACCCAGAGACAGCAAACATAAATCAAGTTCCACGGTTTGACTAGATGAATTTCCACCTGTCTGTCTGGTCATTCTTGAGATCGGCGAGTAGCCACTGAAATCAAAGTCTGCTGCTGTTTCCTGGATCAGAATGGATGCTACCAAAGCAGTTGTCATAAGGAGAACGAATGATTGCATCTATAAGAGATAAATTGATATAACGCTGGAGCAGATTGAATATACTCACTACACTGTACTAATAACCTAGGACAAAAGGGGGAAAATCATTCTTTTTCAGAACTGCTATGCTTTCGTTCACACTATTTACCCATTGGTAAATTCAAAAGGAAGATAGGGTATGTTGTTGTGCTGTTGTTGTTCTCCACCCCATGACCAGCAGAGCTAGATCAGGTTCATGAGCTCGTTCACTCTAAGAAAGTCTAGCACCAGTAGGGGAGCTTGAACCAGGTCCTGCCTGGTAAGTCCCAGACAAGATAAAATGCAGATAGGGTATACTTTGTGCTGCGTCAACTGAATCAAAAAGCAACGTGAAGAAAGTACAAAAATGTACATACTGTAGTTTTGGTTCAACAAACAAGCACTTTCCTCAGCGTCTAAACACCAAATGGCAGTTGAAAGTAAAGAAATAAACACGTGCAAAGGGGTTTAACTTGGAGCAAAAACTTTGATACTACACGGAATAATACGCATCGATAAATTCAGCACATTTTCATTCAAAAGTATTGTACTATAGAAGACAGTTTGGCGTAAACATCCTAGAACGTGGCTCATAGTCAGTGTTGCCAGATTAAGGGTTTTCCCCCTAAATTTAGGGGGATTTTTTTTTTTTTTATCTTCAGTGGGTATTTTAGGGGAATTTGTTTTTAGGGGTTTGTTATAGGGTTATTTGTGAATTTTACTAGTTTCATTTTGGTTACCTTCTAATATCAAATTCTATAATTGAATGTGTGAGATGGTAATATGAAAATCAATATGTTAAACCAAAACAAAAATATTAAGATATAATTTTAGACCTTTACCCCTTTGGTGAATGTAGTAGGTTATTACTTAGCTCGATCAACCAGTACGTTTGGAGAATTTGAATTCAAATTATTTAAAATTTTTAATGTGCATGGTTTAAAAATAATGCCAAAGGATAAAGAAAAAAAGAAGTACGTACAAAAGTACAGGAAAGATTGGGAACACGAAAGGCAGTTTAAAGGTTTAAGGGTAAGGGATTTTGTATTTACTTCTTCTATGTTAAAAATGTTTAACGGCGAAAAGATATACAGATCAGAAAGTATTGACGAAAATATGTTGGATATTTTATCAAAAATTTAAGCATAATGTTAGAATTAAAATATTAACAAAGACTATATCGTTGATAACAAAATATTTATGAAAAAATGTGCAAGTCAAAAAGTATTGAAAAAAATATATTAAATATTTTAGTAGAAATTAAAGATAGTGTAGCGATTGAGATATAAAAAAGATTAATTGGTTGATAATAAAATATTAAAAAGTATTAAAGCAACGTTTTCTATACATTATTTAACTTTTGTACTATTTTTAATACTTATACATTAAGTTAAAAATTTTGGGGTTTTTTAAAATTTTTTTAGGGGATTTTACAACGCCTTCTGGGGGTGAACGGTTATCAGCACCTGGCAACGCTGCTCATAGTCTTTATTTCACTACCGTAGTATCAGCTTTACAGCATTATTTATATATGATGTAATTTTTTTTCTCTCGAGCAATTCATTTGATCTTTTCGAACATACAAAAAAAATTTTACAATGTCGCAATTGGATTTAACTCTTCGAATCATGTAACATAATTTTGATTATACAGTCAAATCTTTTGAGCATTTTTGAATCTGAGGCTAAGTCATCTTAAAATGCACCGTTAAACTTCTGCGTGAATCTGCGTAATCTGCATCGTAATATTTATACGCATAAAACTTTGTTGAATACATCATGCCTCACAAAGAGGTCTAAGCTATCAATGCAAATGGATAATGGATAAAAAATCCTAAACGTTTGTTAGAGATAGTGAGTGTCTTATTGTTTCACATGATTAGGCATTAAAAAATCTTGGAGAAAAAGGAGTCTTGCCCTATTTGATTTGCACAGTAAATTGTACTTATTAAAGTATTCTTTTAAACAGTCATGCATTCACAACTTCTGCCCGCTATTCAAAGAATAAGTTAAAAATTTTAATGCAACCATACCCAAACATATACTTTTATAGCAGATATTTATATTATTTTACAACAGTCTTGATAATTAGTAATCAGGTCAACAGGGCTGGATTACCCATTAGGCCAGACTAGGCCATTGCCTGGGGCCCCCAATGATTAGGGGCCCCCTTAAAATGGATTTTTTGAAAGTAAATTTTAAAAAATTAAGAAAAACAATGATTTTTCAAAATGTTATGATTATTTTTTAGTTCTAATTTAATAAAATAAAGTAAAATTTAATTTATTATTATTTATTTTTATTTAAAATATACTTTCTTGAATGAAAAGATATATAAATACTTTTATATTTGAATAAATAAAAAATATACGTGAAAAAATTTTAATCTAAGTGCCCCAAAGATTTGTATGGCCAAGGGCCCCGGGTGCGCTTAATCCGGCCCTGCAGGTCAGTAAGGGCTTGACCTCTTTGCATTTAAGAACATTTAGGGAACTTAGTGGGAGATTTAATGGGTCATTTCAGTGAATTTCGAAGAAATAGTTTTAGAATATATTGAAATATCGGAAAGCAGATGTTGAAGAGTATGTACTTTCATTGATACTGTATCATATTTGAAACTTGACCAAACAAAGTAATGTTTTGTACTCACATATGATCTCAACATGTTATTAAACACAGTAATTAAAATATTTTCAAAATTGCGCTTAACATGTTTTTCCAATATCGCCCTGGTACTTTTCATTCAATGTCTAAATTCGTCCATATACTTTTCTTTCTATGCTTTCATTTTTAATACTTAAGGTAATATGATCGTAGGTGTTTGTTGTATATCATAATTCATCGTAAATTGATAACTAAGAATGCAGCTCATTACAAATTGTAGCCTATAATTATCAATAATACACTGTTCTAAAATTTTCAGAAAAAAAATCGCTAAATAACAATTTATTTAATTTTTTTTATCATCTTCTAACAAAATAGTTAAATAACCATCAATTATTTGGCATTCAAACTTTTAACTGTGAGAAAATCCTTTTATGAACTGCTTTCACCTCATACGGTTAAATAACTATAATTTTATCGCACCAACTTGGCTCACCTAATGAAACCACTCAATTCCTTGCAGCTGGATACGTATTACAGCCAAGCTAATCTGTCAATCTTATGACCTAGAGGAGAGAGGTTTGAATCCCAGCGCTGACACCACAATATGTCCTCTATTCCCTTCAGCACATAAACAGTTCCCAGTTTCTTGCCTTTCTCAATTTGTGACTCCGGACTATTAGAGTACGATTCAAGTGTAGATGGCAGAACCATAAAGTTGTTTAACACAAGAAAGTCTAGTGTTTTTTATCTTTTACGACAACTGAAGCAATTAGATAAACTAATTAAACTACATTCCACGGTTCATTTGATAAAACAAAACTCAGCCATAACTGAACTCCAAAGACCAGTTAAATTCTTTTCATACAGTTTTGAAAACATGCTAGTTGTAAATGGTTAAAGAACCTTAAAGTTTTGTATTCTTGTTTCTTTTAAACTGTACTGGCATCAAACGGTTTCAAAACCGTAAAGGTGAAAATGTTCTCTACCGTATATTTTACAGTTAATTGGATAGAGAGTCTGCTGCTGGTAATTTTACCGTAATTTTATAATGAAAATTCTAACAGTATATGTTCTATGGTGCAAGATTGTTCCTGCTCTTGATCACTACCGGTTCACTAACCCAAATGATTCCTTTAAAACTGTCTTCTTTTTATAGCGGTAATATTTTTTGTGAAACAAAATTTAAAATTATTCAATTAACTATTTTATGAGACAGTTGGAAACATACGTTCTTCATTTCGTTAAGAATCTGTTTTTCTCACTCATGATTTATGCAGATGTCTGTAGACAATTTCAAAAAACACACACTCGTCAAAAGATTTTTAAAAAAAATGAAAAGAATGTTTACGAAAATCCTCGCCACCTTCCCATAAAAAGTGGTAGTAAAAATCAAATTAGTTTTAGATGATAAGCTAAATGAATTTCTTTTAAAAATCAATCTAAATCCCAAAAGCATTTTACATAGCATTGCTAAATATGAAATGATTTTATAAACTGTTCCAAAATGTTTTTTTTTTCTTCCTGTTTTTACAGCTTTTGTTCAACAAATTAGAAAAAAAAATTCAATTGACAGCTTCTGAAATATGTTATTCAATTATCAAAGATTTACATACGCGCGCTCCATTCCATGAAAATGACATGTTAACATTGAAATAACAATAACTGTGTTTCTTTTCTAAACTTTAAAAGTAGTCAGGAATCGCTATAAACTACTGCTTTTTTTTTGTATCGCACTAGTCACTACACTACACTACAAACTACGGAAAAAAGTAGAGACTACAGTAGTTTCACTACTTGTAGCCCGTTACCGGCCATTGAGTAGAATACTATTTCAATGTGGACGCCGACTTTCCACGCGTTTCATATTATCTGCAAGCTTTAGTTTGTCCTTATAATGTTTAATTCGCTAATTCGTTGCTTGTTTAATTTGTTCTTAATTTATATAGTTATTCCGTACTATTTGTTGTTAATTAGTTGCGTTAGAACTGTGTTTCTTTTCTAAACATTAAAAGTAGTCAGGAATCGCTACAAATTACTGTATTTTTGAATCACGCTAGTCACTACACTACTTTTTTATAAAAAAAAAAGTAGCTCACTACACTACAAACTACGGAATAAAGTAGCGACTACAGTAGTTTCCCTACTTCCGACCTCTGAGTAGAATACTATTTTAACGTCGATGCTGACTTTCCACGTGTTTCACATTATCTGTAAGCTTTAGTTTGTCCTTATAATGTTTAATTCACTAATTCGTTGTTTGTTTAATTTGTTGTTAATTTATATAGTTATTCTATACTATTTGTTGTTAATTAGTTGCGTTAGAACTGCGTTTCTTTTCCAAACATTAAAAGTAGTCAGAAATCGCTTCAAATTGCTGTTTTTTTTTGTACCGCTCTACTCACTAAACTACTATTTTATAATAAAAAAAAAAATCACACTACACTACAAACTGCGAAAAAGAGTAGCAACTACAGTAGTTTCATTACTCGTAGTGCGCTACTTCCGACAGCTGATTAAATACAATAATCCGAAGATAAAGTCCAGCCCATAGACAATTATTTTCAGTAAGATAGAAGACAAAAATTAATAGACATAGATTAATAGCTTATAGAACGAATAGACACAATACAACTAATATTAGATTCAATTACTTGAAGATATGAAGTGTGATAGATGACAACGCCATATACTGTTAAAAACGACATCCGTTGCAAGTACGTGCATTAGTTAGCATAAAGATAATTCCAATATTTTTGGAAACTCACATAAAATGTTTGCTTTTGAAAGAGATTTTTGCATTTCGGATTATTTTTTTAAATCTCGTAAAAGTGTTTAGCAACCATCGGAAATTAAAACGTTAAGAAATTCGTTATTTAGATGCAATCTGACCACGAACTCGTTCTACTTAGTTTCTATTACCTGTATAGTTTTAAAACACCACAACTTGTTTAAGTGCCAAAGTTAAAAGCTGAAAGGCAATTTTTTGAAACACCTCTTTTATCACGCAATCAAAATAGTTTTTCCTCCCAACTTTTTCACTAGTTGCTAGACAGAATTTCATAATGTTTTTGTATTGATTTAAGACCTTTGTGTACATTCTTTTACCTCGTTTTTGCCAATATTAAAAAGATTAAAAAGTATTATGGCAAAGTATTATAATATTATTATATTAAGTATTATAGTATTATTAAGACGATGCGTAACACCTTGTGCAAAAGAAGTGCGCATTTTAATATTTCATATATTATTAATAAAAATTTAGTAGAAATGAGAAATTAAGCAGTAAAAATATAAAAAATATGAATACACTTAATGAAAACTGGAAAAAATTATTTTTAAAAAAATGCTTGAATAATTTTTTTGATGAAACAAATTGTATTCAAAAAATTGAGATAACTTTATTACGATCACTGGTTACCCATTGGTTAATTTTTTTCTGGCTTGACGCCGATAAACGCCATGGGTTGCAAAACCTGTCTCAATTGATGTTTGTCGTCGGATTGTTTTTCAAATCCTGGCTATATAGTGTTTCTAGACGTCACAAAATACTTTTCCTTCTTCAGTATTCATATTTATATTAAAATCACCGTCAAGACAGTAATTATAAGTTTATAATGAAAGATTATAAAAATACTTCAAATTATTATCATGTAAATACATTAAGAATAACTGCTGGTGAAAATAACAAGAAAAAGAAAAGAATTCTAAAAAAATTATCAAACAGCAGCCGTTGCCAAAGCAACACATGCAATGATGACGCATGCGCACTGTTTACTATTACTCTTGAGCACAGTTGAAAAGTGTGATGACGTCCAAATAAAGTGCGCACGCCATCAAACCCAAAACAACACCCATTTTGCTAATGGGTAATAGTTTAATATAATGTCATATTTAATAAGAATAAAATAATAGGATTTTATACGGTTACACAAATTTCTTACTTGGATAATCTGTACTTTCTTATTTTTTGAGAGCAACAACCAAAAATGCAATTCGTACACATACGCATAAATTTGCTAAGACATTTAGGACAGTCATATTTTGCTTTCGAATAAAATATATTTTTAAAGAACATGAACTTCGTGAAACATTGAGATAACTATAGAACTCGAATAAAATGCTAATCTTTAAAGAATGACAAAAACTTAGCAAGCTTTAGAATTTAGATTCTTAATTATTTATAGAATGAAGCAGGGCTGTCAACAGCTACGCTTTTAGTAAAAAATATTTTATACAGTGGTAGGCAATTAAAAACGAAAGCTTTCAGAATTTTTAGAAAATTTTGCCAACATTTAAAAAGCCTCTCCACGAGAGAGCTAAGACAAAATGGCGTTGCATAAGAACTTTTAAATCATTAAATAAGTTGTGTTGTGGAAAATAAGTTTAAATGAATAAAAAATAATTCAGCAAAGCATACTTAGATACCATTAGAATAAATTTTTGCTAAGAGCTTGGAAAGTTGGCTGCCCTGGATATAGATTAATTCCATGTATCAATTTAAATTATTAGGTATATTTAGTTCGAAAACAGTGAGCAGTGCTTTTATAAAGAAAGAGCTATTGTTCTAATAAATAAAGCTTAAACATTTTGTTAACTTTAAATTTTGTTCGTAATTTCAAGGCTGAGTGAGTATTTATATCGATACAGAAAAAGGTAAAAAGTGGTAAGAGATAATATCATTCAAGCTCGTTTTCGTGAAGGTTAAATTGTCCATGCTTACCAGGATTTTTTTTAACAGTTATAATATATATGTAGGGCTGTTTTTTTTTTCAACCGAGAGAAAGTAAGTACCAGTAAATATTTTAAAATTAAGTTGAGTAAGAGGTAATGCAGTGCTGCTAAATACTACGCTTTTCGCAAAATGTTTTATGAAGTTGTCGAATATTTTGGTAGTTTTGCTAACATTTTAAAAAAAACTCGCGAGAACTGGAAAAAGTGGCGTTTCATATAACGTTTTGAATCATTTGCATGTAGTGGTGGGAAAAATAATTTAAAATCAAATTTACAAAACAAGGAATTATACACTAAACATAAAATTAACTAACACTATAAGATCTATAGNAGACCCCCCCCCCCCATAAATGTAGAAAGTTTGCAATCCCGGCTACTATACTCATCACGAAAGATAGTTATAAATTAAATGACTTCATTATTATTTTTTTTTTGTCTTACTTTCAGCTTTTATTAGTTAAAAGTAAACAGGCTACCACTTCATAATTTTTTCTAAGACGCCGCTACCACAATAAAAGCAAACAAAGAACAATGCTTTGGTTAGTTAAAAGTAAGCATGTTGCCACTTCATAATTTCTTTTATAAAATACTGCGACCATTGTAAAAGTGAATAATGCTTTGGTTAGTTTAAAGTAAACAGGCTACCAATTCATAATCTTTATAAGACGCCGCTACCATTATAAAAGCAAACAAAGAACAATGCTTTGGTTAGTTAAAAGTAAACAGGTTGCAGCTTCATAATTTGTTTTATAAAATACTGCAACCATTGTAAAAGTGAAGAAATAAAAACGGTTTAGTTAGTTAAAAAGTAAACAGGCTACCAATTCATAATTTTTCAAAGATGCTGCGACCACTTTAAAAGGGAACAAATAACAACGCTTAAGTTGGTTAAAAGTAAACAGGCTACGAATTCATAATTTTTATAAGATTCTGCGACCACTTTAAAAGCGAACAAATAACAACGCTTTAGTTCGTTAAAAGTAGACAGGCTACCAATTCATAATTTTTATAAGATTCCGCGACCACTTATAAAGCGAACAAATAACAACGCTTTAGTTAGTTAAAAGTAAACAGGCTACCAATTCATAATTTTTATAAGATGCTGCGACGACTGTAATAACAAACGAGTAACAATGCTTTGGTTAGTTTAAAGTAAACCGACTACCAATTCATAATGTTTATAAGATGCTGCGACCACTTTAAAAGCGACGAAATAACAACTCTTTAGTTAGTTAAAAAGTAAACAGGCTGCCAATTCATAATGTTTATAAGATGCTGCGACCACTTTAAAAGCGAACAAATAACAACGCTTTAGTTAGTTAAAAGTAAACAGGCTACCAATTCATAATTTTTATGAGATGCTGCGATGACTGTAATAGCAAACGAGTAACAATGCTTTGGTTAGTTTAAAGTAAACCGGCTACCAATTCATAATGTTTATAAGATGCTGCGACCACTTTAAAAGCGAAGAAATAACAACGCTTTAGTTAGTTAAAAAGTAAACAGACTACCAATTCATAATTTTTATAAGAGGCTGAGGCCACTATAAAAGCAAACAAAGAACAATGCTTTTTTTTAGTTTAAAGAGGCTACCCCTTTTTTTTGTTTTATAAGATGCTGCGACCACTTTAAAAATTAACGAAGGAAATTTAACCTACCTTTATAAAGTGAAGAAATTGACCCAGAAATAACAAATCACTGTGAAAGTATCTCTTTTAGTCAAGCGTATTTATACGAAAGCTATATTGCATAAAATCATGCTCTAAATTATGTATAATGCTGAGTAAGTGTGTAAAATTGTCCTTGAAGTCAGAGTAAAGTACAAAATTGCATATCATTCCTCAATACATTTGATAATATAATTTTTGGAAAACGTTTTTCTTTTTGATCCGAAAATTATTAAAATCCACTGATGGGATTTGAATAATCGATGTTACATCGATGTCGATGTTACTCAATCAGTAATGATGAAGCTTATTGTTAAAGCGAGAAAAATGGCGCATAAGTGTTCTCTTATTAATGAATTTATTATTAGCAATGACGATTTAAAAATTATAAACATAGTTTCTTAAATTTGACAGCTTCTTTATCGATGAACAAAGGTTTGATTAAGTTTAAAAAATATAATAGATCGTAGACGAGATTTTAATAAATCAAACTCATGTCTCAGATTATCATCAATATAAAAATACACATGCAAATTATAAAAATACATATTGCAAATATTATTGACTGGTAATAAAGTTTAGTTAACATTATAACATTTGTCTGGTAATAAGATATTTTTTAAAGTAGATAACTTATCTTTAAATATCTTTATTATATACTTTGATTTTTAAATTTTTGAGTTGTTACACAATTTTTTTAAAAAAGAAACAAATAAAGAATTTTTCCAAAAATTAATAAATGGAATAGAAATATCGTTGTGCGTATTTTTAATGTATTTCATATTTAATTCAACAATAAGCTCATTTTAAAACGTTAACAAGGCAGTTACTGCAGTTTTCTAGAAATATAACTAAAATGTGGTAGATAATTCAATTTTAAAGATAACAAATTATGTAAGACATAACAACACACATTAACATATGGAACCCGGGGCTCCGTAGAATAGTTAAAAAAATGTTCCATGAGTTAGTATTCTTATAACCAGTGATGAATTTTGAACCCTCCGATTATATTTAGACCGAACTTATAATTAATAATTTCTATAATCTTTCGCTAGCTTTTTAATTATTTATTGAAATTATTTCGAATAAAACGCAAATGAAATAGAAATGACATTTTTGAAAAGAAAATAGCATTTCCAATAACAATATATTGAACAAATTATGAACAGAACTAGCATTTATAAACTATTGCATTAGTATTTCCAAATGCGCTTTTCAAATCAAAATAAAATCATTAGATACTTTAATAAAAAATTTGTTTGCCTAATAGCCATTTTCAATGTATAAAGCAATTCCTTAAAGTTTTAAATTAGAAGTAAACCATGAAGCGTCTTATTTTATACCTTTTCAGCTTATGTACAGTCAATTCGCTATAACTCGAAGTACGATAACTCGAATATTACTATAACTCGATTTTTTTATAAGGTCCCGACCCTTTTATTTTCAATTTCATGTTAATTATTCTCGATTACTCGAATTTTACTCCCTTTAACTCGATTTTTTTTGGATCTTTTAAAGCAAGAAAAAAAACCTAGGAGCTGATATCTTGCCCCTTCCTTTGCAACACACACACAATGTCTTTCGCACTCTTCATGGAGAAGCTAAAGCTGTCCCTCTTGAAGTATGTGAACAGTGGTTAAATGAAACGTTACCAAATTTACTTCAAGGATACAGTTAAAATGATGTTTTCAATATTGATGAAATGGGTTTATTTTTTAAATGTCTTCCAAATAAGACTATGATGTTTAAGGATGAAAACTGCTCAGGGGGTAAAATGAGCAAGGAACGTTTGACTGTCCTAGTTGGAGGAAATGCGTCTGGGACAGAGAAATTGCCCTTACTTGTTATCGGAAAATACCGAAATCCCCCGATGTTTCAAGAATGTAAAAACGTATCCTTTGGATTACAAGTCTAACAAAAAGTTTTGGATGACATCAGTTTTATTTGAAGACTATGTAAGAAAATTGGATCGGAAATTCTTCGCTAAAAAAAGAAAAGTGATACTCTTTATGGATAAATGCACAGCGCATAGTGATCTACCTAATTTGAAAGCAGTAAACTTGCAGTTTCTCCCGCCAAACACAACAGCAAAGTTGCAGCCGATGGACCAGGGTATCATAAAGTGCTTCAAACAGTCTTATCGTAAATGGCTTGTCAGAAAAATGATCTTAAATATTGTAAGCATTTAGAAGATTTGTAATTAATAAGCATTAATTAAATAATCCGACAATATTTTGAAAGTCCAAAACCGAAACTAACGGTAAGTCGAACTTCCGATATGTCGAAGTTTTTCGTCAGTCCTATCAGATTCGAGTTATCGCGAATTCACTGTATATACACTAAAAACAAATTCATAACTAGACTAGATACAGCACAAAGACTTTAAATTTGACTATCGATCATAAAACCTAATTTAAAATTAATGATAAAATGATGAAGAATCTTTTTGTCCTTAATTTTCTTTTTATTTTATTTTATAACCGTCGTTGAACAGGTAACCCAATTTTGAGTTCACTTCCACCGATGTTCAACTCCTACTAATTTATTTAGAACCCAATCCAGAAGACAAGGGAACTCCTGGATCAAGTATTGGGAGAAATATGCCTTCTTGTAGGACTTTTTGATGGAACTAACCCGCATTATCGTTACAGTAGAGAGGAAAACAACGAAAAAAACCCACTGTTAGCCTGACAGCAAGGCGACTCTAACCCATGATTCGTCTACCACTGAGGATATTTTACGTCAGCACTGTGGTCGGTGCGAGTCGGGTGCGAAATTCGTATGGACCTGCCATCGTTGGGATTCGAACCCGGTTCACCTCATTGGAAGGCGAACGTTCTATCCGCTGGGCCATCACTGCTCCCCTGTCATTAATTAAATATTTTAAAAATAGTCTGCTATTATTTATTTATAAACTTGGTTTATAAACTTTATCATCCAAGTAGAGTCTCGGTGCTGCCATCTAGTGTGGCAAAAACTAGACGTCCAAATTAACATGACCAATGGTATCTCACCCATTGTGGTGGTCCTGAAAGAGTGGATACCACCTCTGGAGAATGCACTAGGTCTGCTCATCGGCGAGACCGATTGTGCAGCTCATTGGAAATAAAAAGAAAATAAAAAAAACTTGGTTTTCCGCCGAAAGAAGGTTGATTACTTAGGGTTCGGTTGCCGAATGTTATTGAGAACCGCTGCCTTAGAGAATAGATCATTAGTTAAGTGGCATACTTTTACTCCTCGTTAGCGGTTGCTAAATATTTAAAAAGGATTAGTTTTACACTTCTAGTGGTTTGTAACATTTGTTGAATTAGTGTTGTCAGACTGGCTACAGTATACCTGGAAGGGTTAACTCGTTACAGGAATGTGATTTGGGTGAGAACAAATTTATACAAGAAGAACCACTTCAAGAAGAAGATCACAATACCTACATATGTGACCGATGACGTCAGCGTCAGCTGATCGTTCAGAAATAAAATGGCGTCTTAAAGTTGAGCGAAGTATAGTTTTTCCACATAATTTAGAATGTTAGTTAGCGTGAACTTAATTCAATATAGAGACATATGGCATATCAAATTTGTAGAAATATAATTCTTTCTCGTCTGCATCTTTTGCTTAACTTAGATTTATTATTTGTTTATCTATTTTATTGTGCCCGTGATATATATTTTTACTCTGTGTACCTGGCAACGTCGATACATAAATATTTTGTTCTTGTTCTACATGACCTCGGGTGTGTCTTTGTGTTAAGTAAGAAACATGTAGTTAAAAGATTTAAAATCTTTATGAAAGAATATAGAATGTGTTACTTAAGAGAATCGATACTTTTCAGGTGTGGCTTACTCGAAATCGAATGGAGAGAACAATTGCGGACGTAAACAAATGCCACGTTCCAACAACCAATCAGGATTGACAAACCCACCCGACATCACTTGCAGATATACCATTGCTATGTTTTTTAGCAAACGATTTCGCAAAGTGGTAGAAAACTAAAAACTTAACCTTCAGGTTCATTAAAATTAACCTCATTAAAAATTCACGTCATTAAAAAATCACTTCATTAAATTCACTTCATTAAAAGCCTACCCATAAAATGACGGAACTGAACAGGTCCGTCATTGCACGAGGGCATGGGCACGCTGGGAGCTTGCAGTTCAATTCCCATTAATCTAGAATTTTAAAAAAGTCTATATATACTCTTATATAGTCTATATATCTTATTGATGATTTGAATATAATGTATCACTGCAAAAGAAACTGCATTATGTCTAATAAACATCATTTTTCAAATTTTCAAAACGAAACATGTTGTTGGAATCTGTATTTTGAGTAATTGTATGAACGTAGAAAAAAAAATTCTGAAGAAGAAAAGCAATGAGCATGTGGCATAACGCATTTTTAATATTGCAGTTATATTTAATATATTTATTCCGCTTACAAACTTTCGTGAAAATTTTTTTTAACTCCAGAATCTCTTTAATAATTATTTTCCTTAAACTTTCAGTATCATTCAGTTTTATTTCATAAAAAATATATTAATAAATTTGTAATATTTCAAATCGTTTTTTTAATAATAAAAAAAAAAACAACGTTGATACAAGTAATGATCACCAACTTGGCGAGATTTCAAAATGTCGCCAAGGCGTGGAATATTTTAGGATTTTACTTAGAAAAGTTACATAAGTAACCTAGGATGACGGTTGTTTAAATTTCAGATATTTCAAATTATTATTTTTAGTCGCTTGTATAAATTTGTGAGAATTATCATAATCTGAAACTCTTCACGATAATTATCACCGCCATATCAACTTTTCACAAGTGCGTTTTGAATTATACCTTAGAAATGTAATGCATTGGAATAAAAAAAAATTTTAATAATGAAGACTTTGCGATAGATTAAAATCTCACTTTTTAAAAACTGTTCAATCACCCAATCAATAATATTACTTCAGAAATAGGTATTTTTTATATTTAAATATTTCCTCTTTAATACAATGACATAATAAATATATGTTTTTTTTTATTATATTTAATTGGTACTACTACTTTGCAATATATTTTATTGGTACTTTTGTCACTTTTAAAAATGCAAAAT